ACTAAAACAAAAGATTCTGAGGAGAAATTAACAATTCAAATAAATGAAGTATTTAATAATAAATCATTTAAAAATCGAATAAATGAAGTCTTTGAAAATGAATCATTTAAAAAGCAAATAGATAAAACAATAGCAAATAAAACAAATGAAATATTAAAAGATCCTTTAGATAAAATTAATAAATTGATTGAGCTTAACGAAAAAAAAAAATTAGAATAATAAATCTTTTAATGAGCAACTTACATATAATAATTTGAATAGTAAATTTACAATATAATAACATTATAAAAAAAAATTATTTTAGTTATTTTTTTATTATATAGTTTCTTATTGTTTTTATTATTTTTTTATTATATTGTTTCTTATTGTTTTTATTATTTTTTTATTATATTGTTTCTTATTGTTTTTTATTATTTAGTTTTTATATTTTTTTTATTGTATAGTTATTTTTTTTGCTTTTATTTTTTATTTAAAATAAATATTTATTTACTAATAGTTTGAAAATTATTCACACTAATTTGTACAGTACCAAAATAGCGTAATGAAATCACATGGTATATGGTTGGTAAGAGTTAATATGTGAGAAATGCAAAATATTGAGGCTAGATGAGTAACATTGGGTGGCATGACCCTATTTTCACATTTTGTCATTTAATATTAGGAAGCAAAAAAGTTACAGCAAAAACTATTAACACTGTTTGATAATAGACAAGTAAGCTATCAGAGTTTTTTTGGTGATTCAACCAAATTTACGCAAATACTTTTTTTAAATTTATTAATTTTGTATATCAATTTGCTTTATCATACTGGTAATTCATTTTAGTCACTTCGATGTGTTTGGTTATCAAATTTTTACAAAAAAATTATATAAATTAGCAGTTCTTTAAAAAATAATATGTTCTAAAGCTAATCTCAAAATCATATTCTCCAGAGCAAACCCGATGAAGTAAAATTAATGAATCAATCACTTATTTATATGTTGGCATTCTAAAATGATACATTAAAATATTTATACATATTCATTGTTTTAAAATATTTTTTGCATACTAAATAATTCAACATTATAAAATAATTTTAATATTTCAAAATATTTTAAAATTTATTTGATATAATAAAATAATTTTTATCTGATTATTTTTTAATATTTACATTTTAGGTCACAAAAAGTCGATATTGGTGATAGTAAAATATAAAAAAATAGTTTTTTTATTGTCATGTACTTATGGGATTCATTTGTTATAATTTTCTGAATTGTAAAGTTTTTCCTCGAATAGTTGAAATTATAATAACCAAAAGGAAATAGATGGAGCTTGAAGGACTAAAACTATAATAGATCTTATTACAAGTTACTATTAAAAAATCCAAACCTTTACTGCAAATAAACACCAAGAAGAGTACCAAATTCGTTATATTAAAGAATTATTAGTTTATAATATTTAAAAAATTTCTAGCACAAAATATTCAGGATTAAGTAGAACAACCATTTGGAATTTGCTGATCCATAATACCATCCATTCATGTTTTTGAAAAAATTGCTATAAACTATCATATGGGCGGATTTATTTCCATTTGATATGTCACATAAATCCGATTTTGTCATATACGATGATCAAAACATGACATTAACCAATCATATGATTCTTTTCGATTATATCACTAGAATTTAAATGATAATTGTTATCTAGCTTGCAAAGTTTATTACTTTTGAATCTGATGAATAAATGCTAGACGCAGAATCTCAGAGCAGAGCAACTGCTGAAGAATTAGCCAATATGTTGAGAACTTCAATGGTAAGTAAATGTCAACTTTGCCAGGAGATTCTTTCTTCTTGAAAAAAGGCTGTAATTTATGAAAGAATAAAGCACCAAAATAACAAGATCATACCTCATCGCAAGTTACTTATTCAACCATCCCTTGAGCAAATCACGTTTTATCAAGATGT